TGGACGCGATTTTGTAATTATAGTGCTTTCTTAAATATGTGCTAGTCTCGGTTGAATAATCGAATGGTTTTTTACACAGTACTTTTGTGCTTAATCATAGTGATTGATTGATTTCCTGGCGTCTCATAAAACTCATGGAGGAATTCAAAAGTGTGATTAACTTCTCAAGAACAACATCTTGGTAACTTGGAATTAAAGTACATGATACGTTTCATATTTGTGATTGGCAGCTCATAAATCTGAAATCACTGTGCTACGCTTCACATTCTATCTCACGTTATTGCCCTCTCAGCTGGCTTTAGCTCTTTTTTATAATCAATCTGGACTATTTCAGATTATAGATGTTGCTGGGGGTACAGGAGATATCGCTTTCCGCTTGCAAAAACGAATTGCCAATGGAGGCAAGGTGACCGTTGTGGACATAAATCAGAACATGCTCGATGTTGGTCAAGAACGTGCACGAAAGGACAGAGGCGTATGTTGTTTACTAGTTTTGGCAATAAGTAGAAAATCGTAGTTGTTGTAGGTAATCGCATCAAAGCTTGAGTGGGTATGTGCTAATGCAGAAAAACTACCATTTGAGGACAACTCTTTTGATCTCTACACTATATCATTCGGCATTCGGAATTGTACTCATGTTGACCAGGTCACTTTTCTAAAAAGTCGATTTTGTTTTGGCTTTTTTTCTATCCTTTGAAAAGTACATTATTAGACGTACGGCAAACAAAGGTAAGAATTTAGGTTGTTGCCGAAGCCTTTCGCGTATTGAAGCCTGGAGGACGACTAGCTGTGCTGGAATTTAGTGCCATCAATCCTATGCTTCGACCAATATATGACGCCTATTCTTTCAATGTCATTCCGGTTTTGGGACAAGTATGTAGAATCAGAATTCTTTAGCTTCAATTGGTGAAGGGCGGAGAAAATACGAGTGCCAAATTTATTTTTTCTCACTTTTACCCCATATAAGCGATGAATGAAATGGTTTTAGCCAGAAGATATCCACTATTTTTACAGAAAATTGAGCACAGTGCATTTCCTCAAGCTACTTTCAAATAAGGTACCAAAGCAAAGCTTTACA